TTAAGTTCTTCGACAGCTGCTAGCTTGATGCTGTCATCTGGCACACTGATGAGGATTTCTTTATTGTCCTCAATGATCGCATTGACCCACTTCCGTTTGTCGGATTTTTGGGTGTCGTCTCCCCTTCCGGGTGGTTTAGGCCTCTTGGAGGGTTCTCGTAGGGCCCTTGCATAACACTCTCGGGCGAGACGTCTGTCTCCAAGTATTTCCCCCATTCCATAGGGAGTAGGGAATTTCCACTTCTGATGGTAGGAGGAAGGTACAGACTTGAATGTATGGATGGCTGGCCTTCCTAAGATGACGTTGTAAGGAGATGGCTTGTCGACGATGAGGAATTTGATCAGCTTGGTGATTCGACAAGGGTCTTCCCCTAAAGAGACGGGCAGCTCTACCTCTCCCATGGATAGAATGCCTTCCCCTGTGAATCCTTTCAGGGGTGTGGAGACGGGATTAAACCGGGCATTATCTATGCCCAGCTGCTTAAAAGCGTGGAGGTACATGATGTCGGCTGAGCTTCCACCGTCCACTAATATCTTCTTGACCAAGAAGTTGGCCACCGTTGTTGTTACTACCAATGCATCGACATGGTCTTCATCTGGACCTTCAAGGTCGGAGGAGTTGAAGACTATGCTATGATCAGGTCTTCGTATTTGATATATGCGTGCGGATGGAGAAGCATGCTCTTGATTCATGCGTGCTGATCGAGCGAGGGTGCGTCTTGCATTTTGTGAATCGCCCCCCGCTGGTCCTCCGGAGATAAAAGAGATGATTCCCCGGGTAGGCTGGTTATCATTGTTATCTAGGTCACGTCGATGACCCCCATCTTCTCGTCTTTGCTGATGATCTCGATTGTTATCTCGGCGTGGAGGATCATCACGGCGCTTATTTCGCGGCCTATCGATGTACTCGCCTAAATGGCCCTGTTTGATCAGCCTCTCAATTGCCGCTTTGAGTTGTGCACATTCCTCCGTATTATGCCCTTTGTCCTTATGGAATCGACAATAACGATCCGACTTTTCTCGCTTTGCATTCGGCTGCATAGGACGTGGAGGCTCCGCTAAACCTCTCTGTTCTATCACGTGAAGGATCTCAGTGAGGCGAGCGTTTAACGAAGTGAACCTATTGTAGGAAGAGGAGGGTTGGCTCTGAGGTGGAAGTGGAGGACGTCGGTCATCACGTCTCTTATTGTCCTGACGGTCATCTTCCCTTTTCCTTTTAAGAGGAGCATGGGTAGAGGCTTCCTCTATCCGGACGTACTTTTCAGCTCGATTTAGCAACTCCTCTAGGTTGCCTGGGGGTCTTCCGGCGATAGATTCCTTGAATCTACCCGGTTTCAAGTTCTGTTGCATAATCCCGGAGAGCATGTATTGTCCTACACTGGGGACTTCATGAACAGCTTCTACGAAACGCTTGATGTAGTTGCGGAGTGTTTCGTTATCTCTCTGCACTACAGAGAAAAGATGAGCTGGGGTCTTGGCATATTGTTTGTTGATGGCGAATTGGTTGGTGAATCGGGTCGACAACCGAGCGAAGGTGTCAATGGACCCTATGGGTAGGGAGTTGAACCAATTCATTGCCCTCTTGGAGAGAGTGGTGCGGAACATCTTGCACATCGCAGCATCTGTTGGGCCATATAAATCCGCCATGGCACTGAATTTCTCTATGTGCTCCTGTGGGTCGGTGGTCCCTTCAAATTGAGGTAAGCCTGAGATCTTTACTCCTTGAGGCAATACCTCGTTGAGAATGTCTATGGTGAAGGGACTGCGTCTTGTTGGAAGAGGCATTCTTTCTCCCATTTGATTATTTGGTTGGGAGAAAAGGTTCTGGCGAGACATTCGGCTGTTTACCTTGCCTTCTCCCTCATTGAAGAGAGGGACTCTCGGTGGTGACGCATTCCCCCGTGGGGGTGAGCGCCGACGCTGCTGTCTAGGTTGTGCCTCTCTGTGATTAGTAGATAGTTGCACTCGGAACCGTGGGTCCGAGGTAGAGGAGGAGACACTTATTTGATTTTGAATTGGCGGTGGGGCCACAGGTGGCGCTACAGGTGGAACTGGTACCGGTATCGCATTGGGAGCGTTTGTTCCCATCGTGGCGATATATTGGGTTACAGCCTCTGTAGCGGCGCGAGTTGAGGCTTCCGCTATCATGCGTTGGAGCGCATCCTCGGTTATTTGAACCGTTCGAGGAGCAGGGAGTGGCGGATAGGCGAGTGGTGGATCCCGATGAGGGATCACCTGAACCTCGCGAGGTGGATCAGCAGCACGTAGAGGAGCTGGCTCCGCGGCACGTGGAGGAGGTGGCATGCCAGATCCTCCACGGACTGGGAGATTATTAGCTGTGTCATTTTCTCTCCGAGCTGATGCCTCAGGAGGATCTTGCTGGCTACGTGATCTGGTTTGCATCGTTCCCACAGACGGCGCCAAAATGATGATGCTAATTACTTAGATCACCGGAGTAGTATAGAAAATGAGTTGGGAGAGCAAAGCTGATCGGTAGCTAGTCAACTCGATGTTCCTGAGGTCCCTACAAAATAAGCACACGTGAACTAAGCCGGGGGTTGATCCGGCGGAAACCCCTCCGACGCTCAAGTCAGATGCACGGATCGTAGAGAGAGTAGAGAGAATAAACTCGTGGTCGATTATAAATAATGAGAACGTACCTTTACAAATGAGTAAAACACATATTTATATCTCGGTGATTGGGTTGGGCTTACTTTGTTGGGCCCAAGCCTTACTTTGAAGGTATTTGGGCTTTCGTGTAATGGGCCTGATTAGTAGATATATTTGGGGGCCCATTGGGCCGGCCCATTTAGGTATATCAATACTGGCGGCGAGAGACCAGCGGTTGCGGGCGGCGGGGACCAGCGGCTGCGGGCGGCGGTGGAGGGAGCAGCGGCTCCGTTCTCGGCGTCGGGAGCAGTGGCAACAGGGGAGCAGTAGCGGCGCGCTACGGCGGAGGGAGCAGTAGCGGTAGGCGACTACGAAAGAAGCAACGTCAGCGGCGGCGGTGGAGGGATCAGCGACTGCGGGCGGCGCAAGTTGGGAGAGGAGCAGAGGTGCTCGTATGACTGGTGGATAGAGAGAGAGTTAGAGAGAGAAGAAGAGAGAGGGGGGAGAGATGTAACGGCTGATTAGTGGGAGATAAACTAGGGTTTGAAAAATTAAAAGGGTAAATTAGGTATTTCAAGTTGCTCAGGGGGTTTCACTAATTAAGATTAAAATTTGGGTTTTTGACTAGAAAAGAAAAATTCATAGGACCTAAGCGTATATATTTTGAAAATTAGGGGGTTATCCCTCATTTCCCCGTGCTAATATTAGGAGAGTTCTATAATATAATATTCTCTAACACCACCGATCCGGTACATTATATCGGTTTGATCTAACATTATATAACGAGTAACTAGAGAAGTCCTACTATGTAAAACACAATAATACAATGTTGATCTAACATTATATAACGAGTAACTAGAGAAACCCTACTATGTAAAACACAAAATAATACAATGTTCTACAAGTATCCTCCGGTCAAGATTAACTTGATCTAACATTATATCCGTACGAGTAACTAGAGAAACCCTACTATTTATAGTAACATTATATTCTTTGCATTGTATTCACCATGGCTGACGGAAGCTATACGCGATTTAGACTAAGGGTAACAATGCGCGCTTAGTCGGTACCTCTCGACACCCTACTATTTATAGTAACATCATATTATTTGCATTGTATTCACCATGGCTGACGGAAGCTATACGCGATTTAGTCCAAGGGTAACAATGCGCGCTTAGTCGGTACCTCTCGACGACGTTGTTTAGATACTATGAAGCTGTCCTCTTTAATAAGAGGTTTGAATATTTCGGTCCATTTCTTACGCTTCCCGAGTTTAGGGATATTTTCGAAAGAACTAGCCGCGTCAGATATTCATTATTCCATACCTTGTATGCAGCCTCGCTGCTGCCATCGTAATATCCTGCCACCCATACATACCCACCGGAACCACCATTTTCTTTATTATTTCCGGTTGTTCAATTGCTTGTTCATGTTTCAGTTGCCCTTCTAGACCCAGCGGAACCACCGGTTTCTTGATTGTTTCCGATGGTTCCATTGCTTGTTAATGTTTCCGTCGCCCTTCCAGAACCACCGGTTTCTTGTTTCCGGTGGTTCCATTGCTTGTTCCCTTCATTTTTTATCCGACGGGCGTATCTTCCGTCGAACTGTCCCATACCATGTCTTCATACCATGTCTTCAGAGATAACTTGATGAATTATAAATATTTTTAGATAATTTGCAGGGGTGCTTGCCTATTTAAGGATTTGAGGTGCTAGGGTTGGGTCGAGTAATAGTAACCATTTAATTTACGATTTAATATCGTGAGAATTCGAGGTCCTAGGGGAGATTTACATAACAATTCAAAATGGGCCCTTGATAAATTATTTTGAAATATTTTTTGAAATGTATGTATGTAGAATAACTAAAAATATGGAAAAAATTTTTTCGAAATTAACAGGATGATTTGCGATTTACTGGTTTAAAATATGGAAAAAAAAATTCGAAATTAACAGGATGATTTACTGGTTTACTTCCTCCCGTGACATATAATCTTTATAGCAAATAGACTTCATAAACATTTATAAACTTGAATACACTAATAGATTCTTATTTTAGAATAAAAATAAGTAATTAAAATATTTTAGAACTGATGTTCCAAAATATAATATAAAATTACAAAATAAATTTTAAAAAATAAGTACTAATAATAAAGTGTATATAAAATAATTTTTGGGCCCTAAATTTTCGTAAATATCCGGAGACTCTAGGTAACCTCCCCTCAGATCCAACCATATTTGCAATGGCGTAATATATGTTCTTTTTTTCCAATTTTAAGTTAAACAAAAGTATATAATAATTTAGTTTCATTAAATTCCAAATGCACCGTACGCTATAAAAAAATATGCTAACAAAATAAATTCATTATATAATTGGCTGAAATAAAATGCTATATTATGCCAAATTTCCATAATTATTCCATAAATCAACTATTTGAAAGTTAATCCGTGGCTCGAGCAAAATCGCATTTACTGTACACTTCTTACAAATCAAGGCAAGTACAAGGTTTAAGTCACACCAGAACTCAATTAAGGTAAAATAATAATAGTAATTAAAAAAAATTAAAAAAAAAAAAAAAATCGATAATTCATATAACTAGGCGGGGCTTTTTTCGCTGGCAGTTATTCGAATGCCAGTCAATAAATAGCCACCAGATGAGCTCATCTGCATATGTGGATGAGTTCTTGATGGAAGAACCTGCAATATGTAAGATTATATGTAATTACTACGAGTAACAGATAGTATTACGAGCCATTTTCAATTAAAAAATATTAAAAATTATTTTTATTAAAAATATTGGACATTATATAGAGTATCGAGAGTTGTACCTGATACTCACGCAACCAAGATTCCGAAATTTGCAAGCTGATGGCCATTTTCTCCGTCTGCAGATTGTGCATGCATGTTGCTAGAGGCTGTAATAAAATAAATAAAAAATAAAAAGAAAATCAGAAAGAGGGAGAGAGATTGTTTCGCTCGTATTTAATTAATATGCAAATTTCGACTTTTTCTTGTTCTTGTTTGTTTAACCAAATGAGATTTTTTTTTCAATTATCAAAAAAGTGGTTAATTAAATTTAACGATTAAAATAATTAATTACCTGGAGATACTGGTGATAAATGACGAATGGGGCCGAGTAAGATAGAAGTGGTACAAGCTCTTTTGCGATGCTCCAAGCATCCAAGTCTGGAGCAGCAATAATCAAACTGCAAATAAAAATATTAAAAAAAAAAAGTCAGATATTTATCGAAAAATAAACAAACTATCTTCACGAAATTCAGAATAAAATTAATTAAAAAAAAAGCAAAAAATTAAATTACCTGGAAAAGCCATTTTCCTTCCAGGAATTAATAGCATCAAGAGGTGCCTTATCGCCAGCCTTTATACTTTTACCACTTTCGATATTACTGACCAAGTCTATAGTTGAAGGAGACGACATTTCTTTCTGCAGAAATATAAACCGTCATTGTAAATTTATATATATAGAAAAAAAAAAGAAAAAAAAAAGATAAAGAAAAATTATCACAAACATTTTGCACTTTTCCGATATCAGAGTCATCTTCGATCTGGTCAATGGACGTTGAATTTTCACTGCGGGAAGAAGGTTGTAGTTCAGAAAGCGAAGCATGCACGATCCTGGAAAATGAAGAAATACCACAAACGGGAATAAATTTTATAGCCAAAAAAACCGTTGCAATAATTGCATAATAAAAGGTAAACAAACAGGATTTAAGAAGACGCACTTTTTGCATGTCTCGTTACTGAAATTGAACATTCGGACAATATTAATAGGATATGGAGTCATCCCGCAATACGTATTACATACATAACCCATTCCTGGAAAGAGGCAAAAAAAAATATTAGGCATTAAATTTTCATTGAAATAGAAAAAATAAATTCGATTAAATTATTCAAGAAAATTTTTATTTTATTTTTATAACGGAAGAAGGTAAATATATACCTCCCAAACGCTCCGCCACAGCACCAGTAATTAAACCGTCGAGCATATCCAATACAAGTACATCTGAGTGTGAGGTAACATTAGCAAAGGACAACAGAAGAGACAGTGTGTCCACCCGTAAAAACCTGGCAATTATACATCATAGAAGTTCTTTAAATAAAGGGTTCGTGGCATTAATTGTAAATATTTGAGCAATAGATGAAAGTACTAGAAAGCAATCGGAATAAGCAAGAAATTGACTACTTGTCATCGGCTCGTCAATATTAACATAATTCTTAAAGTGATAAAAGAAATCCCAACTATTTGCAAAAACTAGAAAGAAAAGAACTACTATTTGACAATACGAGGCATGTCTTAATCATTAAGAATTATTAATGTGAACATAATTCTTAATTTGGTTAATGTGATTATAAATTGAAGTTAATGCGGTAATTTATCATCACAAGAGTAAGTTATTTACCCGATTTTCTCTCCCTGTTTTTTGAAGTATGCTTCACATATGCTGCAAGGAACAAGATGCAAATATATTAGCAATGAAACGATATTCAGGAAAACAAATATTTGACTGAAATAATCAATGATTGCAGATCGAGATTTCCTAATAAGTATGTATAATATTAAAAACAGAAACAGAATTTCGCATACAAATTAAAAGCAACAAGTTCATTACAGTGCTTAGAAATGAACATGTAATTCTGAGTAAAGAAAAAAAAAGTGAGTAATCATTAAGCCAACCTTCGGGCAAATGGACGTCTCACAAGTATCCTCGGTGCATATTTTTTCTGCTTTTTGATCCGGTACTTTTCCTGCAAACCGAGATATATTCAGTATTTGATGTTCGGAATAGATTAAGCTTTTTTCGTATTAGTCAATTACCTGTGAAAATGCAGTTTTCTTATCAAATGTTGCACTATTTGCAATAAGGGCCTCAACTATTTCATCCCCAGTTACTCCCTTTCTGCAAACAAGGTATAAACAGTCAAACACTATTGCAGAGGCATAGTATACCTTGCAGCCATATTAGGCAAAAAATGTTAGAACTTAGACGAAAACAAGAATCAAGGAAAAGTCAAAATACATAAAATTGGTTTATGGGCATTATACTTAATAGATCAACAGCAGAGAATTTGAATTAGAACCAAATTATATTGGCCAGTGTCTTTACATGACGTGCTTAATGCTATAGTCGCAAAATTAAGCGCAATCAGTCTCTATCGTATGTAACGAACTTCCCAATTTCGATGCAATAAAAGCATAGTTGTATAGTTTTAACCTAGAAAATAAGCAACTTTAGTAATTTACCTCCGCATTTCATCAATGTCTTCACCCGTGAGAGTCTGGGCTGTGTTATTATCAACTAATGCGCGATTATCTCTGCATTCCTCCATAACTTCGCAATCCATTTTCTCCCCAAGGTTATTACCTGATTAAAAATATATATATGAATACATTGGCAATTGAATTGCTTAAACGACGTTCATCGCAAAACCAAACTATACATACACAATCAGACCCTTATTTTCCTCTTTCGTCTCCCACCGAGACGCAGAGGCACATATATATCTTCAATACTAAGCATACTAAGAAGCAACTAAATTCAGAACACAACATACCAACTCAACTCTAACACCGTTGAAACGAAACATAATGCTAATAGAAACAACATAAAACTAACCCGTACGAGTCGAAGAACATCCGAAAAATTTAATATAAGCACTTTTCAAACTAGTCATGATTCAGATATATCTAAAGAAGACAGATTTATTAACCTTCAGATGCTGGACCGACTCGGGAGAGAAACGGTCCGTCTTCTCCGACATCTACCTGAAACGAAGACCCAAACGGGCATCCAATCAAAGGCTGCAGCGAGCAATTCTTGTTCCCTATCTTTATTTTCCTAAATTACACAAAATATAACAGCCGACTCAAAAAAAAGGAGCTGTTGTATAAATTTTCATAATTTCCAAGCACAGGTAAAAAAAAAAAATTGAAGTTAACAGCTTACGCGCCGCCGTTGAGGCGAGAGAACAGCACTCGATCGCCGTCGTTGATGTCGAGCAAAACACTGCAGCCTTCCCAGGTTATTCTCGGGTTCCTATTCCCGGACAAAGTTTCGTCTGAATTCTTACTAGACATTGCTGTTTTTTTTTTTTTCTCCCGACCGAAAGAAACAACCTTTGATCGATTTGGTTGAATTCGAATTGATGGTTTGTTAGGGAAAGAAACAACCTTGGGCGGTTAGAAGAGCAATTTGGTTGAATTTGAATGGGATTTGGGGCGAAGAAATTTGAACCTAAAACCCTAGCAAATGGCAACGGTTCCCCTAAACGACGACGTATTTTCAATGGGCCTAAACTTTGGGCTTTATATGAGAAATAAACTCATGGGCTAATTTCCAGAGAAGCCTGCCTATGGAGTTCTATTTTACAGAGTTACAATTAATAAATATAAAGTAAATTTTAATAAACGAAAATATAAATCCAACCTAGGGCAAAACTAATTACATCTCCGTAAATTTTTTTCTCTACTAATTTTCTAATTATTTTATTTTTATTTTTTTGTTTTTTTATCTCAATGGAACGATTTTTTCACTTTCTTTGGAACGATTAATGACATCTTTGTAAAAAAAAAAATCTTTTTTCTCTACGAGAACGCTCTGCAACTCTAATGTCATTTTTGTAATTATGTTTTATATCTTCTAATTATGGATGAGTTTTTTCTTAACAATTTCTTCATCTATGCCGAATTTTGAATGTCATATTTTTAAATCGTTATTTTCCTCACTTTTAAAATATCACTAGGTGCATCACATAGAGAAATACTATATATATAACATAATTTTAGGCATGCTTCCAATTAGGATCCCATATATGGTTCTAATCCTTGCTACCCAGTATATTTCGCGCGGTGTAATATCCATATTATGCTCTTATATACATAAACGTGTATATTGCGTGCAATATGTGACATAAATATCCTTAAAATAAAAAATAAATTGTATATATTTTGGATTTGAGAAGAAAGATGGGAGATAATATCTTAGTTGTTATATATATCACTTTAGTATAGCCACCAACTTAATTCTTTTAATACCTAAGTGTTGATGCAAAAAATAATAATATAGACTATGCACAAGTCAAATTGAACGGTCCACATCCATTAAGGTGACAACGAAATACCAAACCATTCATAATATTCGCTGTTTCGACAATTGGAATAGTTGGGCTAAATAAACCCATGATTAAATAATTCATACAATGTACAGTTAAACATCTATAAATTAATACAATTGGGACCATCAAAATTTCATTAATTTAGCGAAATATTAACTTATCGATAAATTAATAATTATTAATTTATACATTAATTAATAATTTATTAATTTATGAAATTATTTTTATTATTATTTTCAATAAATATAAATTTTTTACGTGTATATTATTCATAGTACCATTAGTTCAACGTACTATAGAGCCCGCTTCACGAGCGGAAGCTCTTAAAGCAGCGATGTTATTGAACAATTTCATGTTGATTTATGCGAAAGCTATAACAGAATTTCTAACCATGTTAAAAAAAAGTGAGACACGAGATTGGTGGTAATGTGAACTTCAACAAAAACAAAGGGCAATGAAATTATATTTTATTAAACCTTCATAGATCTATAAAGTATGTATTGTACCATGTAATTTAAGAATTATTAATTTATATATTATATGGGGCTTCTTAAAATTTTCGAATGTGTATTATCTTATAAATTTAGCGAATTATTAATTTAGCACGTTGTCCCCGAGTCGGGACCGGGAAAATTTATTATTTAAGCGAGATTATTAATTTATCGAGTATTAATTTATCGAGGTTCTACTGTATTATCCATCAATATTTATTTCATTTATTTATTTTATAGTATAATAATATTACAATTATTTAGATAAAAATCGTAGTTGTTTCAACACACCCCCAACTCTTCACCTAACGATTAGGAAAGCTTGTCCCCGTATTTCAAAATTGATGACGAATACAAAGTATATAATATGGAATAACTTAGATTTGCTACGTACCTAGATATTATATATAAGGGTTTTTTTACGAGAAAGTATCTGACCACCAATCTTTATTAATTTAAATTAAATTGAAGTATTTTATCCTTTTCATTAATAAGTAATAACTTCGCCCTTTTAACATGTATTATAAACAAAGAAATATTTAATATTAATGCAAAATTGCCCCCAACTATTTAAATCTAATTTGTAACTGTAAACTCTGAATTAACTCCAATTTCAATAATTTATAAAAGTCAATACTGTTAGAGAGTGATGTTGACCGCCGGTCAGCGGCGACGACGATAAAAAAAAAGTCAACGCCAGTGACCAGCGGTCAATGAGCACGGCAATCAAAATTGGAGTTAAATTTGGGTAAGGGGTCAAAATTGAATAATTGTTTTAAATTTATCTATACCCGATGAAAATTTTCGGTGATTTTAAACCATAATTCTGCACATAACAACGCATACATCAATGTATATGTGTGCTTAGTGAATGATTAATGATTTAGATTAACAATTCTAAAACACCGAGTTTATTTTCACCAAATATAGGATCTCAGAGCCCAAGTGCATAAAATATCGTATGCTCCTTGAATTAATCCACCTAATATTTAGATTATATAAAATAAAATCAATAAAAAAAAAAAGAAAGTGGACTTCAACAAAACACAAATGAAAATGGATAGGTTGAGTGGTTAAGTAGCACGTTACAAAATTCACATAGGGCTAAACGCTACAAAATAAAAATCAAATTGATATAAATATAAGTCACTTATCATTATTTTATTCATTTGGCTCTTCTATTTCTCTTCTTCCTTAAAATTGGAATCTAAATTCCCCACCACATACTTTTGACTATTGAGCCCCCAATTTGCATGACTATATTAAATGTCACACACTAAAAAATTAAATTGGGATCTTTTAGTATGTAAATATAAACAATCAGTATCTTCCAAACATTGTGAAAGGGATTTAATAGAACATGATCTATTTATTTACATATTAATTATTAAATATTATACTCCATTTGTTCCACAATATCTGTCTCTTTTAAGATTTTTTTTGTTCCATATTATCAGTCACTTTACAATTCCAATGTTGCATTAATTACATATTTTTCAATTATACCCTTATTAATTCCCCAACACTCTTTCTGCATTAATTAGTAAACAAGGGTATTTTGGTCTATTTATATCTATTTTCCTAAAATCAAGACATATTTATTGAAATTCTTAAGACTCGTGCCGAGGTGAAAAACGACACATATTTAGGAACGGAGGGAGTATAAATTTCAATAATAAATAACATTCTATTATATATATAAAAAAAATTGTATCCTCAACATAAATAATAGAAAAATTCCTGAGAAAGGCACAATACGGGTTGCACGATAAATAAAATTTAATCGTTAATTAACAATAAAATTTCATAATTAATTGGCTATAGTTTCTTTTTTTTTTTTTTTTTTTTTTGCAATATGTGATCTAATTAGTGGAGTAAGAGAGTGTGATGTCATTTTACCAGAACTCGAATCTTCCTGTTGACACTTTTTAGGTCAAGCTTGTCTCGAATTGAAGTTTACGCTTGTATTGCTAAAATCCAGATTTCAATTATTAAAAAAAAGGAGAAGAAGAAAAAAGAGGATAATAAGTTATAATGGCCATGTTAATTAGGCACAATGCCAAATTAAGCCGCCATATATGCTTCACATGCATTCTTTTATCGTACCCATGCAATCCCAATTTAATTTGGACCCAAAATTAATATGCTAATTAATCTTTTATATATATATATATATATATATATATATATATATATATATATATATATATATATATATATATATATATAAGTATTTTATGAACTATAATACATGTATTACTCCACATTCTTGTGCATGAACATACATACATACACGAACCTTCCCCACATAATTAATACCAAAAATGGACCCATTATAGTGGTTGGAAATTAATTTCATCAATTCAGATTTTCGAGTTACATCATAAATCCGATCTTCTGCTACTCTCTTCCTTTCCAATTTAATTATAAACACTAGTAGTAATTAAGAACACTAAATCTTAATTAACAATACTTAAAGTAAATAAATAACTATTTGGTTGTATTCTGACATCCATCATTATTTATATGATTAGACAAAAAAAAAAAAAAAAAGCTGGTTTGTTGATCTATAAACGAATCTTAGTCTTGCTGGATAAACTGAACTCTCATGCAATAATTAAACCAAATTATTGATATATATATGACATATATAAATCTCTATATGGTTAGTTAATTAATCAATTTATTCTC